GAGCCTGTGCCGTCGCCGTGCCCCCAGAGGCCGCTCCAGGGGGACCGGACTCCCTCGGCGACAGGGGAGGTAACCGGGGCGACCACTCGCTCTAAGGCAATGGCTCCTAATGGTCCCCGGGGGCGCCTGTGGGAGCGCGGGAGAGGGGCTGAGGGGACTGGGGCAAAAGAGCGGAGAGGGCGAGCGGAGGGCGGCGCTGCCAGCCAGCTGCGACAGCGGGAGCACTCGCAGCCGTTCTCCGCGGTACTGAAACCTCCGCCGCCAGCAGCAGCCGCAGCTCCTCCTCCTTTCCCCTTCCTCTCCTCCTCCGTCCTCCACGCCCCGCCCGCCGCATCAGCGCGGAACCGAGAACCGAACCCGCCCCTCACCTCCACCGCCATGGGCGACAGGGGAAGGGCGGGACTAAGGCTGGTGATTGACAGCAGCGGCAGGTTCCGATTGGTTGCTGAGGTCCAGTTGGGTGGATGTGACTGGCGGAGAGGGGAGGTGGGCGGAGCCTCAGTCCGACACTTGCTATGGCGAGAGACAGCGCGGCTTCACCGCCGCTGTGATCCGCGGCATCTGATTGGGGAGTTCTGCAAAGATGGGCAAGCTCTCCAACCAATGGGAAAGGCCGAACCGCCAGTTTCCCGCCCCCAGGGAACCTGTGAGGCGCCTTCCTCCCGCGGCGGAGGGTGAGAGCTGTGTGGCGATGGGGCCTGAAACCCGCTTTGTTTCGGGTCAGTGGGGAGAGCTGAAGTTCGTTCTCAGCCTCTGCGGCGAGCGCAAACCCAAACAGCCCCAAAATGTTACGAGAGGTAGCGGGCCTGGCGAGGGGGAGCCTCCGTTCCCTGACGGGGAGAAGAGCAGCGTGTGCGGGTCGGTGGCCAGCCCGGCTTCTCATACTGTGTACAAATCCCCCTTTCCACACCGAGGGGAGTAAAACCAGCCACTGCCGCGCTTCCAGGCTCCAAACTGATGGAAGTTGGCGTGGGACGGCGCTCCGGCTTCTGAAGTGCGGTGCAGCGCAAGGAGCATTAAACTGTGCACAAGACGCTACATAAAGAAGGTTGTTCAGGTCGGAAACAAATGAGTTAGTTATTAAAAGTGACTCATGGCACAGCGCTGTTAACGTAGTTGGAAGGTTGGAACTGACTAAAATGGTGTAAGGTTACAAATGAAGTAATTTAAGATGAAGAAAGTGTCATGGACAGATGTGGAGAAAAAGAGATTAGAGTCAGAGGGTGCCAGAGGCAGATAGCTTTGGAGTTCTAGGAAGGACAGAGATAAGATGGTTAATTTTAACTGAAGGAAGGACCAAAGTTAGAAGAATGATAAAAAGCCTTTGGAAGTGGAATAAGATGCATACACTTTTGGAATATCACCAGCATTCATCTTTCTGAGAATCAGTATGAGGAGCTGGGTATTCGCGATTAGATACTATGTCAAGAGTACCCAAAAGGGCAAATACAAACCCCAAAACCAGATGCTGCCCAACGAAACATTAAGCAGACCTGCTTAAAAACTCGTGCATGTGAGGCATATAGGTCCCTTCTGAAAAGTTTGCTCTAAGCTGAATGCAAGTCCAGAGCAGGGGCAGAGCGATGGAAATGAGAGTGGTGGAGTGGGAGACAAGACAGTGGAGGATGTAGGAAAACTCAGTAACAGTGATGGCATGCACAGAAAGGGGTCCCATTGGATAATATAGCTGGTGAGGAGTTTTGTTAGGAAAAAAAAAATGAAAAACCAAAAAGGAACGGTTTGGTTTTGGCATAAAAAAAGACACTTGCTTTTTGTTTAGTGGAGAAAAAACAACAGTAAACAGGTGATGCTTTCAGTTGCTGTTTTACACTGTGTTTGGGATGTTATTGATGTTTAATAGGACACCTCTGAGGTTGCACAGTTTTGACACCAAGAGTTTTAAAGGGTTTGTAAAATGATGAAAATGTGGAAAGATTTTTAGATGTTAAATTGATGTATAAAAAATGAAATAAGGCATCCCAATGTACTGTGGGATATAGGTACCTGAATCTGTATTTTATCCGAAATAATACAGAATCATATAATAGGGTTGGAAAGGACCTTAAGATCATCCGGTTATCTTTACTATCCAGTAAGGAGAGAGTATATTCTTCAGCGTTTTAATCTTTTGTATTTAGCAGTAATCTTACTCTTCAAAGTTAAACAGAAACCAAATGTTAAAAGGGTAACAGTTTGCTAGCAGGTTTTTTCTGAGAAAGAGAGCATCTTTAACAGTCTACATCATAAAAACCAGTATGAACTCTTATTTTGATTTTTGCTTAGGTAAGCTTGTTACTATGTGTAGTAACATAAAAGGATTGGTCAGAATCAAACCTAGCAAAGGGACTAACATTAATTCATCATTGTCTAATCTCAGTCTGATTCAAGAGCTGACCAAGAAAATGGAGAATCAGGAAAGATGTGCTTACATCACCTGACCAGAAAGTGATAGTAGTAGATTGTATATGCTTTGTATATGGCTGATCATTAGTGTTCTGGTCAATTCTGTCTTGGGTGTTTTTGCTTACCTCATCTGGCTTTCTTGTTTGGTTGTTTTTTTGGCTTTTTTTAGCAAATTCTGCTTCAGTCAATGGGCGAGAATATCCTGACTTTGTAAGCAGCAAACATACTTTAATCTCAGGCTCATACTCTTGGTTGTTTAAATAAAGACATGTAGAGGTGTGCAATAAATGGTGATTTCACAGTTCATGCTTTTTAAATGATTCATACTATTCCTTTTGATAATACAGTAGTAAGTAGTTAAGATACAGTCAGTAGTTAAGTTGATGACGAGAGAAATCATTGTATGCTCACCAGCAGCTGACTAGACCACAGCCTTGCAGCTGTGCCCTGCAGGAGAACCTGTGCTTGTGCAGAACTGAAGAGAAAGAACACAATCAACTACCAGCAACACATATATGCCAATGCAGGCAAAACTCTGACTTACCATAGCTTCCCATCTCATTAGACTTTGGGACATTTGCCAATACTATCCGTGTTTCTGTCTAATTCCAGAACATCAAATGGCAGCAAGCATAGTGTTCCTGCCTGCAGAGCCCCACTAAAAATATCCCCAGTCAGTGCTGAGTATCTGGTTGGAACAGCTTGCTGAACTCTATCAATTAGCCAGATCTTAATCTATTTAATGTGTTTTATTAAGGCTGTATAATCCTAATGTTTTAATCAAAATGTCAAGCAGTACTAAATCAAATTCATTAGGAAGGTCCAAGTCTATCACTCCATGTGGTTACCTTGATCAAACAAACCTGTAATCTCATCAAAAATTGAAGTCAGGCCTGCTTGTCAAGACTTGTTTCCATAAAGCCATGTGGACTTGCTTTCATTATATTCCTACCCTTTAACTCCTTATTGATTGTATCACACATAGCATGACTGCTTTAATTCACATAACATCACTGTTTTGTCTAGGTTTACTTAGGATGCCAGGTCTGTTATTACCTTGGTCATTCTGCTTGACTCTTGGAATAACATGAGGTTTCCTTTGTCCCTTCAAATTTGTAGCTGTACAGAGAGCTGTTAAAGATTAACATTAGAAGGCTGGAAGTCTCCTACTGTTTTAGGCTCTTTGGATACTCAGGTGCCACAGAGACTGCTGATTGAAAAACAGCAGTGCCATTTTCATCCTCCATAGGTGTCAACGGCTAGAAAAATAATTCAGCATCCTCATGTAATATTAATACTTTTTTTCTCTCATGAGTACAGGATAGAAATGTTTACCATAAAAATTAGATCTTTTTTTGCATGCTCAGAGACCAGATTTCGCAATGAAGAAACTGTGACGAGGTGGGAAGTGCCTGTACAAACCTGAGAATGTAATTTTGTAATAAGAACTCCATTTAGCACAGTGGGCCAAGTACACATGTAAATTAGCTCATGTATAGAGTTACCTGTTACAGCTTGAGGTGATTTGTTCTTGATGCTGTTGAAAAGGAAGGTCCTGCATCTGCTTGAGCCCTGGGGTTTTTCGCCCCTTGGCCTTTCAGCAGCAAAAGAATTTCCCAGGAAGGTCAATAGTTTTTGCTTGGGTTAGTGATCTGGATTAGCTCTGCACAGGATCAGGCTGTGCAAAGTCAGTGCAAAAAAAAAAGGCAGAGCTGTAAGCCTTGGATGGAAAGATGAGAGTAGTCTCCCTTTGTTAATTCAGCTCAGGCATGCACTATAACTTCATCACAATATTGGCCTATTGGGTTATATTCTAAATATATGCCCTACCCAGGAAGGGCTGCATATCAGTGAAGAACTATCACAAGCCACCTAAACAGCAGTCAGGGGCATAGAATTATTCTTAGACTGTCCTGTTGCAGTAGAACGATGTATTTCTTGCAGAGGGTTCTCCTAAAGCTAAGGTAGGACTCAATCTAGATATGTTTGCTCTGGAAGCAGGGGTCTTTTTCTAACAGATTGTGGGGTACAGGCTGTAACAGAAGCCTCAGAAGAGTTAAAGCCTCAGTGATTATCTGCACAGCAGTTGCTTGCTGTATCTTTATGATAGGCAAATACGGAAAACTCTGGGCATCTAATAGAGATAACTTGAGTTCTAGTCATGACAACGTGGGACACAAAACTGGTCTAAGATGCTCAGTAAATACTAGGGTAGTTAATATATGCCATATACCATGTCGCCACAGATGTCAGCCTTCATTGCAGTTCTCAGGCTGACCTTCTGGTTTTCTCTCTGCAGCCAGGTTGCATTGTATTCCATGCACAGTTTTCTAGTTTTCCTCGAGCCTTTTTTTCTTTACACTTCATTTTATAGATCACTGTCTGTCACATAGCTTAGTTACCCATTTCACCTCTTACCCCTTCAGAGAGGATTAGACAAAAGAGTCTGGTTTTCCCAGGTCCTGCTGTGAGTCAGGCTATTTGAACTTCTAATGACCCAGGTTTGCAATCCAGCCTGTGCACATCAAATATATCCAAAGGTGTAATAGTTCATTAAAACATTTTTAGTAACTGGCACAGACTGTTGGAAAGGAGAGTTGTTATTTTCTTACTCTGCACTTTTAATTTCCGCCAAGCTTGTGTCTGACTTTTGATCAATACACACCTTTTCTGAAGTTTTTTCAGCATATTTTCATTGCTGCTTTTTCCATTCGGAACATTTTCATCTTTTCCAGAGGCTGCAGAACAGCAGGAACCGATGCCTTTTCAAAGTCAGTTGTTATTAGTTCTGAGAACAGCTTTCAGAAAAAAAGACAGCTATGAAAATGGAATAGCCACTAGCCTTTCAACAGAAAGAAAGGCTAGTGGCCCTAGACCAAATACGCACCTACACGGGTAATAGATAGCCAGAATACCAAACTGACCAATCACCCTCCCAGACACGTTAGCAAAAGAGCGCAGATTTCCAAGTCATCAAGGATAAGTTTTCAGATAAAGAAGTTACAAAGCATTAGTTGAGAATGTTAGATAATCTACTGTATTTAAATCCTTTGAGAGAAGAAGATCCTTTGTTAAAGCAGAATCAGTAAGAGCTTTAGCAAGTCAGGAAGACTGTAATTCACAGTGAATATTCTTTTTGTTATCAGCTTTGCTACAAATTTGACGTTTCCCATTACTGCTCAGAGTGTTTTGCAAATTATCACTGGCATTTGAAATGACAGCTAATGTATTCCAAATTGTTAGTTCATTTTACTAGATTCTGCACTAACAAAGGTCTCAGTTAGGACTGGGCTACTTGTCTTGGTTGCTTTCAAACCCACACAGTCTTGAAAGTTTGAAACATAATCTTGGAATTCATATTTCACTTACAGGAGAGTATAATATAAAAGCATAAAGAGTTAGAAAAAAAAGAGAAAAGAATAAATTCAATGAGTCTATACTTGCTTTATAGAAAAGCCATCAGCACAGTTTGCATTTTGGGGGGATTTCTTCCAATAGGTGCAGAAAAAGAGACTGACTTAGCTGGGGAAAATCTCAACTGCCCTTCAATATCCCTCAGTCTAAATTATAGGGTAAAAAGGTTCATACACTCCAACTAGTCTGATGAATCATAGGAACCAAAAATATAATGTGTCAGTTCACAAAACATCAGATATCACATCCTTGGTCTCTGCGCAAAAAAATCTTCATAGAAAAGTCTAGACCTGCTGTAACCAGGTTCAAGAGCAGGTGACTGACATTTCATATAGATAGCCTTAAATTTAGTGTAGATATTTGCATAAAATAAGAGTTGGTAAGATGAAAGCAAAGAGAGAAAAGGAGAAGAGCAAAGGGAAAATGGGGCCCACATTTCAGTATTTCAGTCCTTCTGTCATTAAAAGCTTTCAGATTTATGTCTGCATCTTTCATTTTTAACAATTGAGATGTTCTGTAAATACGTTACTGTTGACCTGCAAGACCAATACTCTTTGTCTCTTCTAGCCTAAGCAACACTTCATAACAAACAGCCTCAACAGAAGACTCCAAGTGAAGAAATGCTACCTGCAGTCTGATTTTCAACCCTTTTTTGAAGTCTGTGACAAAAAGCTAGCCAATGCTCTGTGGCATCACTCCCCTAAGTCGTCCCCCAAACCAGGGCCACATTCTGACCACAGCCAGATCCTTTATCACTGAAGGACTGCAAACCACCACATCAGCTTCCTAAGGATTTCATCAGGCTGAGCTAGTCCGTGGGTAAATTTGATCACTGCAGTGGCTCTTATGCCTTCCTTCCCACCCTCCCTTCATCATGCTTTTTTACCTCCTTTAATCTTAATTTAAGAACAAGTTGAAGGCAGATTGGACTGTTATGTCTCCTCTGCAAGTATCCTATGAAATATTCCACCCTAGTCTCAACACTTCATTGAAAGGAAGTCTGGCAAAAATGTTAGCAGGGAAAATCCAATCAGTCCTGGAAGTTAAAAAAAATGTGTCAATATGCGACAAATGACAGCTGTATTATTCCTCAGCCCTTGGTCTGTCTTTCAGGCAGGGATTTTCTTTATGCCAGTGTGATACATCAAACAGGGATTTGGTGTATAGTGCCTGTATTGGCTTGGATTGGATAGAACTGTCTCAGGGACTATCCCATCCGCATCCTTCAGGTAATGGATATTTGCAGAGTGCTTTTCCAGCTAAGTTAGTGCAATGCTGGTCTACAATACAATGCCGCATGCCTGTCCCTCTGCAATTTGTATGCTGTGTGTAATCCTATAAATGGCTATTTCTTCAAGCACTGAAGGAAATGAAAATGCCCACTGTCCACCACAGCCCGGAGTTTATTTATACACTCTTCAGTGTATAATCAGAACAATATTTTAATTAGGGTGACAGGAATCATTTGTTTTCCAGTTCAGAAGCTCAAACCAGTGTTAAAATATTCGTAAATACATTGTAATAAGTGTTAAAATATTTGTAAATGTATTGTAGTAAATGTCTAAGTGTAAATTAAGATAGGAGATGTCTGCTTTGAAATTAGAAGAGGCATTTTTTCAGACTGTTGCTTGCATTCTATTTGCACAAGAACTATGTTCTAAACGTGACATACTCGTTCAAGTTTTCCCATTGACTCAAACTAGTCCAAAATACCTGTCTCAGCTCCTGTCCTTTATAAGGGATTTGTCAGTGACTCAGGTCTGTTCAACTCCAGCTTCACTTCTTTCATTTAAAAAACCTCAGAGCACTCAGGTCTATTCCATTTTGAGGGACAGTCTGCAGCTCAGTTGTTCTGAGCTCCCTGTTCCACTGTACTCCCATGATAAGGGATTTCAAGCAAAAGCTGACAAAAGAATATTCTCTTCTAAGGAAAAATGAAGTAAGAGCCAGGATGCCCTGATTCCTTGTCTCATCACACTGGTGGCTGTTTCCATTTCTTCTTACTGAGCAAGGTTTCTCATTTTTGCTGTAGGAAAAGATACCTGTTCTCCTCACCTTACCTGCTTAGGTGGTCCTCTTTTTGTTCCCCAAAGACTGACCAGCCTGTCACATACACCATGCATCTCCAGACCACACGACTGAGTGAGGGAAATGTGATCCATTGGTTCTGCTGCAGGACTGAATCTAAATATGAGGAAGGGTCTGTTTGAACTGACATTTAGGGATGAGCACGAGAACCTTTCAATCTGAGTGACAGAAGGGAGGTGCAGAACCTAGAAAGCAGAAGCAGGAGGCTGTGGCACAGGTCCTAGGATAGGCAACTGCCCTGCAGCACTGAAGCATGGGGAAAGTCCCGTGATCTTGACAAGAAAAGGACAAGTTGGCCATCAAGCTCCACCTCTGAACCTAATTCACATCAGGTTCTCAAGCTTGGGCAGGAGCTATTGGCCAGTTCGTTGGGCTGAGAGATGAAGTTACTGAGTTAGCAAGTCTATGTGTGAGGGAGAGCTTAATATTGGCCAGACTGTCAGTGAAAGTCTATCCTAACCTTGGCCAGTTTGATGCCTTTGTCAGTGCAGAATTAAACACGGCTGTCCTATGTCTCAAGCTTTGTGTGATGACCACTGAACCAAATGAGTTTCCCAAGATGCTGCAGGAGGAATTTTCTGAATTATCTGGTAGAGACCATGCTCCCATATTGCAAATTCAAATCTGCTTCAGGGTGGGATAAACCAGATGGATGTGCTTGCTTATCCTATCTGTGTCATAAAGCCATGCTTTATTGCCCAAATCCAGGAAAAGAATTTAAGAATCTTTAGCTATTGTTCTGCTAAGTGACTAGCAAGTAACTGCATAGCCCACTCACGTACGTCACATCGTGCTCATCTCTATCCACAAGGAAGATCATGTTTTATCTATGGCTCCAGCACTAGGAAAGTTTTCAGGCTGATAAATCATATGGAACATTTTGATAGCTTCTTCATAATAGAATTCATTTTTCTGTATTTCTGAGAATTATTTTCTCATTTCTGTAAAGTAACTCAAACAATAAATCCTGGTCTAAAGGATAACACTAAAAACCTGTCAGTTATTAAATAACCAGACCAAAGTACATTCCCTTTCACTCATTTGTCATGTATTTTAGTCATTTGTTTCACCTCTTGGCAGGTTTGAAGGTGAATGGGTATAACAGATGCAAATACTAATCTGTCAGGTATTTAAGTTTGCATTGTGGTGCCTGGACTGTAGGAGTCTGGGTGATTTATCAAAGGCTCCTTACTTTTGTCCCCCAGACAGCACAGATTCTGACCTTATGAGCCCAGCATTTCTTGACAAATTGGGGGGAAGCATGTCTAAACATCCCATTCTTGGGTAACACATACACAGCATCCTAGCTCTACCTTGCTTCTGCCGTGGGCTTACAGACAAGGTGTAAACCACAACTTCTCTCTCATTTTGAACATGAAGTTCCCCAGACGTTTTATGGATTGTGTAGCTTCTGAATTGTTCAGTTTTGATCAGGTGCACATACACTTCCCATTCGTTGCTCAGCAATATAACCTATGGAAGATGATTGGCATTCATACTAGGAATACATTATGCTTTCCTACCAGTATGAATTATTGCTTTCATCTCTGAATTTACATACACTGATGCTTGTACAGATTCTAGACGCATTAGGAATTAAGTGCATTTCAAGTGACTGATGGAACAAAGGTTTCTACTTCTCATCAGTCTATTCTTTGTATAACATAACTGACTCACTCGGTATTTTGATCACTGCATTCAGTTTAGGCTCACCAAAACCGATTCTATCAAGGTGGATTTGTCTTTTCTTTCCAGGGATTTGTGTTAGAATTCAATCTGTGCTGCATCCTTAGGAAAAACCTCGGTATTTTAAGGTTTTTCTATTCTCATGCTACCCTTTGCTCACATAGTTGGGATTTGACTCCTCTGCTCAAGAAATGTTTTTGTCTCAGTGTTAGGTTGCACATTTTGCTGGCTCTGTACTTTGCTCTGTTACACTAAAGGACACTGCAGATGGAGATGGCTGCTGTGATGTACACCCATGACAGGACCCAACGCTTCAGCATTTACTTATTCATAGGTGTGGGACTCATGGAAGCAGCAGGAAGTATTCTGTCTCTTCACCAACTCATATTTTTCATCTGCCCTGTATGATTCAAGTAGGTTTTCCCTCTCCCTTGATTTTACTATTTCTGATGTAAATACATAAAAGCTTGAACTCTGGATGCATGTTGTATTTGACAGGCTAATTGACCCACTTAAATTAATTGTCTTTAACTCACACATACGAGATCACCCCTCTTATAAGTAGCTTTTAAAGAATCCAGTCATTAATCTTCTTAAGCAGCTGTTCTGTTCTAGCTTCCTCTAAGGCATTTGCTCACAGCCTTCACACTAGATTCATCCAGCAAGGAAATCCCCTAAGACTGTTCGCTGAGCTCTGGGAGACTGCTACCTCACAGAATTGTTCCTGGAAGAGGTCCTCATTTACCTCAGGAAAGATGGCTGAATTAAGCTCAGTCCAACATGCTTTTGAATTTTCTCCAACTTTGAGGAACAATTACACATAAAATACTGGGAGATAGGTAAGGCGCTTTATCACACTCTTCCTGATACTACATTAAAATCACTTTTAAGTACAAAATACCCCATTTACAATCCCTTGCTGTCATGCTGAGATAAAAATATTACTTGTATTAATTTTAAATAAGCTTTGACAACATAAAAGCAAAAACCATACTGAGCAGTAGGTTTTGCCTGGCACTACTCACAGATACAGATGTCCTGAAGCTGGATGCTCTCATGCTTTTTGTCTGGCTGCATCACAGATATTTTTTGAAACCTCTTGTTTGGGCCTCACTTGCTTCTTCTGACATGCAGCCTGCTCTGGCTGGTAAGTAGGAAGATACTCATGTGGTAAGAATATAGTAAACTCTCTATTCTCACTGCCTTAATGGCAAGCAGGAGCTGATAAACTGATAGCATATGAGAGATGTTGGGGGTTGGAACTAGATGATCATAAGGTCCTTTCCAGCCCTAACTATTCTATGATTCTGTGTTGTTGGGTCAAAGAACAGGACAGGCTGGATTTCAGAATAATACATAATGGGAGCCAGCAGAACTTAAACAGAACTGGGGTGAGAGACTTGTGAGAAAGCTGATTGACAATAGATCTTAGGAGGAGGGCATAGGTTTTCAGTGTTTTGGGAAAGAGGGAGTAATAGAGAAGGAGAGGAAAATAAAAAACACAGCAGAAGGAGAAGGGGAAAAACCCAAAATCAGCAGCTTTCTGGTTTGGCCATGCTGAATTTAAGTTGATAGCCAGCTAGCCCCAAAACTATGTTAGACAAAAGCTGAAATGATAGCTTATTTTGGACAGGACCCTGACACCAGTCAGTGCTGTGTTTGTCAGTATAGTGGTGGTTGGCTGTAGTTGAACTTACCCTCAGTGAGCCTGCAGAGGGAAAAAGAGGTTTAGGGCCAAAGCTATGGAACCACCACCACAAGGCTACTGCTCTGAGTGTCTCTAAGTTGAGTCATGTATGACCACTCAGGACAGTCCTTGCCTGACCTAATCTTACTTTACACCAGCCATCTCTCCCTTGCCTTTGCTCCATCCATTGTATAAGATCTTGCAAGGTCATGGGCATCAGATCAGCGTGGTGAAACTGTCTGCTTCTTTGGCTGTGTTAGTTTTCTGACAAATCAGCTTCTTCATTCAGCTCATCCCACAGTTGCAGAACCTCTAGAGCTTATTGCTAACGCAAGGAAAGCTGCAGGAGCGCACAGCAGGGACAGGGGAGCAGCCACTGGGCAAAGTGCAAACAGCAGCACTGGAGCTGGGCTGTCATTAGGGGATGACACAGGCAGTGCTTTAAACCCAAGTTACTAGAGTGCAAAGCTGCAGTTGTCTATTAACATGTATTAACAGTAAAACTACTAATTGCCTTGTCTCTGATGTGCTTTTTTGCACATTCGAAGCAAACACTGTTTATATTCTCTTCTGTAGGCAAAGTTTACACAAAGGTCTGCCTGTAGATATTTTTTGTCTACAAAGTGTGCACAATCACGTTCAAGCTCCAAGATGAACAGATACACTCAGCAGTACTTCCTCTCCAGTTTTAGCTGCGTTTTTACACTAAATAAACCAAGAAAGCAAAGTGCTCAGAGCAGGGTGCAGTTTTCAACTTTAAGACCAGTCAGTAGGTGGGAGGTGGGAAGGATCTGCCAGTGTGACCTGGGGGATAATAGGTGAAAGTATTTTGACACTGCATGTTTCTCTCATGTACTGTGCCTGCCTCCTCTCACCTTGATTATAAAGTTTAAAAAAACCCAATTCTTCACCACCTACACACATGCTATTAAAATCATGATGTGTATTAACAAGAAAATCTTTCCCAGCTGGATGGGAAATTGCTGATAGCATTGCTAACAACAGAAGCCAGCTCTTCATTATGCAGCCATCCACCACGATGCCATAAAACCAAAGCCTGGCAGGCTTTACAGTTATAGAAATTGCCAGTTTCTCATCCACCCCTCCATCTTTCCTTCTGGTTGTATTGTTTCGCCTCCTCTCTCCCTGGATAAATATAAACTGCCAGGATCATGGGTAGTGGTGACAAAGCATGATGGAGAGGTGACCAAATACTCTATCAAATGTTCCATTGTTCTGGGGGATGATGTGGGAAGGAGCACAGGCAGACCTGCATTCTGGGTCGCAGCTCAAGAGGACCCAGAGGTTACAATTACCGATGATCCCTCCTGACCCTCCCTCCAGGTATGGAAGTGAATGATTCTTAGGGCTAAGCTATTTTTAAGAGAGTAACAAACTCTGTCTGAGAAGGAGCAGTTCTGAAACAAGTCCCTAGGCCCATAGAATCCTTCAAAGTTCAGGAAGTTCAGACCTAAGTTCAAACTTCAGTTCTGTTCTACTCTCATAAGGCACCACCTGATAGTTCTGGTTGTGCATTTTAACTGGGGTTAGAAGGTGATATCACAAGTTTCAGCCCCTTGCCAGTCTTGAGTACCTACCTGTGGAAAAATACTGGTTTGCTTCTTAGAAACTTAAACCCTCACTAATTCCTATTATTTTTCTCTGAGATTTCGTCAAGATTTATAACAAAAAATAATGGCCAAGTGAATGAGAAAGAATAATAAAGCTGCTCATTAGGAGGAGAGAACTTTCTCTAGAATTCAGTCCAGTGACAGCTACTGCTACTTCAGTGTACTTTTGGGGTAGAATTCAAATACTGAATGTCACATACCTCCTTGTGCTGGCTTTTAACAGCTGTAGTCCTGAATGGCTCGGTCTATGCTGGAAGGATTGCTCTGTTCTTAGTAGTCTTATTTCTGCTGCTGTATTTGAGACACTGTGAAATGGAGGTGATTGACACATGGATCGAAGTAAAGGCTCCTAGGTAAATTGTAGGCAGTTAATTCCCACTCCAAAAAGAAACGCATCAAGAAACATTAAGGTATAAATAAAAAACACATCTCTCCGTCAAACCAGAACCCACAGCTGCAAGCAAAAGTAATTCTATTGCTGCTGTCTTCTGAGCCCAAAGGGGACTAAAGCAAGTAATTAATGAGATATCTCCTTGTGTCTGGGTGTTGCAGGTACTTTTCAGCAGTTGCTGAATATTTCCTCTTCTTTCATTTATCTTCTCCCAGCACTTTACACCAAATAACGGTTTGCACTTAGTAATTAAGGCCTGCCTTGCAAGCAGAACAGATTCATCTTCTGCAGAGCTGTGGGACACACCTTCTCTGCTCAAAAGAAGCTGATCTGAAACATGTGAGCTGAATCACTATCTGGGCCAGCAGAGCTGGGACTGGAGAATGAAATGCCTCCACCAGCCTTTATGGCATGTGCACAGGTGGGGATGCAGTGCAGAATTAAGAATACCTCACACTGAGTGTTGGGTGAGGGTGTTTTACAAACCAAATGGGCCCAGATTTGCTGATTCTTGCATTCTTTCGTCTCATTTCTATCCATTTAGCTTACAAATTTTTTGAATTGTGCTGACCAAGACATACTTCAATACTCTCCAGCTACATCACTTGCTTGAAGTCAGACAAATATCCATTTGATAAAGCATTTTGTGCAGTTGTGCCAGCCACATCTACCCCCTTGACTATGTACTCACTAACCCTATGACTCTTTTCTGTGATCTGTCCATTTCTCTGTACTCATGTTTATTCATCTCTTCCTTTATACTTATTGGGGTTGAACTTCAATTTATTGACTCCAGTTCATTCCTCTAGCTTGCACTTTGTGTATTCTCACCTTCTGGAGTTACGTACGTGCTTCTATCTCACTATCCTGCTATCCTCGCATACCTGCAGGATCTTGCTATCCTGCATGTATGGTTAGGCTCTGCACAGTCTGTTCTCATGCTGAGGGGGTTGCCTGGCCATGACAAGAGACCTTGTTTAATCCTCCACCTCTAACAGTTCTCCTGGGTGTTTGGCTATTTTTCACGAGATTTTATACAAAGCAGATATATCAACTGTATTGCCCCCCCCCTTGACATTCCTATAGTAGACACTCTACCGTCATCTCCTATAGGAATAGCTTTGCTTGTTTCCTTATTGTTCAACCTAAAGATAAGAGAGGACTCATAGAGTGCAAAGTCATATGGAGTGAAACTGACAGCAGAAACTACTAGGAGATAGAGTTCAATCACTTGCTCCACACCTTCTCAGGAGAAACGGACCAAACTGTTCTTGTGTGACCTCTCCTGAGAAGATGGCTTTTTGTCCTCCTCCAGTAGCAAGCAAGAGTGAGGCTCATGAATTTTCTAGTACCTCTGTGTTAACATGTATCTGATCCATGTCATGCCACACCTGGCTCATGCTTTTAGCTCCTAGCAGTGATACTAACAAAGTCCTTGTGCTATAAATCCATGGGGTTTATAGACCTCAAACCAGAACACAGGGAACAAATACCTGTTACTGTAGTAGTGCCAGTGTACTGACCATGGCTAGTGTTTCAAATAGAGTTCTGTAACCTCTTCAGAGACTGTCTGACATGGCATGGCATTACTTAAATTTACACCATTCCCTATACACTGCCCCTTGCTAGTTGTCTGAAGGCGTATTACAAAGGCCAGGGAAAGATCCCCTTCCATGCTGGCTGAAAGAAGTAAGGGTGCATGGACAATGTCACCTCCCAGCAAAGGAGAAAGGCAGCAAGGGGAGTGAACCTTCGGGCAATAGCCTCTTGATGAATTTGGAAGAGGGCATCTGTTCACAGCTCCAACAACTTTTCCACCTCCCACAAACTGCCAACTACCATCCAATGGCAAAATAAACCAAGATTATGTGCATACCTCTACTGGCTGCCCTAATAGCAAAACATAGGCATAGCTGTGGTTTTGAGCCCCTCTGGAACATTGACATTTAAGATTCAAATCCTTCTTATGAAAAAGGATATGGTGTAATCCACTTTTTACTCAGGGGCTTTAGTAAGCTTGTAGATTGAGAAAACATCCTTAAAACAGTCGTGTAGTTTAAAATGACTGTTGGCTGCAAAACACTGCATTTGGCACACATGGGAAGAGCAAGAGCTTGAGAAGTACCATTCAGGTTTCAGTAATCCTCATATAAAGACATCTCAGGGAACTATACAAAAAGCTACTGTGAAGTATTTTATGTCCACTAGGCTTGTTATCCTGTCGAAGAATATAATTAAGTTGGTTTGCCATGTTCATTATAAGCCCCAGTTGCTTGCTATTTATCACCCTATTTTGCCCTAGCTGTTTACACAACAACTACTTCATTAATTCCTATTTGTTAGTTAATGATGTAGTGTCCTTTGCATTCTAGTTCCCTGTCCTCCATTACCTGTATAGAGAGGAAGACATCTCTTTTCTTGGAAGGAAAAGTTGTTTTAGACTCTTTCCTGACAGAAAACATTGAGGGTCACACTTGTGTTTCAGGAATGCTCACAAGCAATCGTCAGCAGTTGTGAAAATTCAGCTGGTTACCCAGCTTAAAGTCTGTTATGCCACACTGAGTACTGGTCTGCATTCAAGCTTTCTGTGTCTTCAAGTGGTTGCTTCATAGTTATGTTTTGTGACTTGTCTCATTGCTTCCTACCTGCTACTAGATAAGACTGTCTCAAGGTGGTGTGCTCTCCAGTGGAAAATAGTTATGTGCTTTCATCTTCATATGACCAAAGTAAAACAAAATAGTCTGCCTGTCTTTCCTGTAGTAACTGAAGGGTATATGTCCTGGGTTCAGTAGTAGCAGTGTTTTTTCTCCTTCTTAGTAGCTGATGCAGTGCTGTGGTTTTGACTTTCAGCCTGGGAACAGCGCTGATAACACCGATGGTTTTAGTTGCTGCTCAGTAATGCTTACATTGACCAAGGACCTTCTGAGTCTCATGCTCTGCCAGGGAGGAGGGGAAGCCGGAAGGAAGCAGAGACAGGACACCTGACCCAAACTGACCAAAGAGGTATTCCATACCACAGCACGTCATGCCCACTATATAAACTGGGGCCAGTTACCCGGAAGGGTTAGATCACTGCTTGGGTTGGCCTGGGTATAAGTCGGCAGGTGGTGAGCGGCTGTATTCTCTCCCCTTTCTATCTCTCTTATCATTACTATTACTGGTAGTATCAGTAGTGGTTTGTATTATACCTTAGTTACTGGACTGTTCTTATCTCAACCCATGGGAGTTACATTCTTTCCATTCTCCTCCCCATCCAGGAGCCGCGGGGAGGAAGGGGCTGGGGGTGTGAGCAAAGTGCTGTGTGGCTGAGTTGCCGACTGGGCTTAAACCATGACAGTATCCAACCACTTTATTAATACAAACTAATATGTCCTCAACAGCCCCTCGGTAATAAGTGAGTATCATTATTTTATCTCTTAGAAAATGCAAACTGGGGCACCGAAAGGGTGTAGAATTGTTCCCAGTTCATTGAGAGCAGCATGCTACCATTGAAATCTCTAGTATCTCCCTCACAATATCATATATAGTACAAAAACAGTTCAGAGTCAGATTTCTCAGTTCTGTGAGACACTGACAACTGATGAGATCCTGTGGAGTGCTAGAAATCGCTCCAACCAAGGCTGCAGGCCTGCATCATGCTTTTGGTGGAGCTATGCAGCACCAGAGGTTATACAAGAGTGGCCTTACATCAATTAAAGTGGGAAACTTTGGTTGTTCTGTTGCCATCAGCTGTTTCAGTATAGCTGAGAATGGTCTGCAGATCTGTTCCTCAGTGTCACAGACCCTTGCTTTCGAAGTCTCTTATCTGCTGTTAGCAGATAGCGTCTATTAACCTGCTGTTGTGCAGAGGATTCATCACAGTTACAAGTTACCCAGAGTTTTTATTTGTCCCTTCTTAAGACCACCTGAGTGGTGGCACTTGTATCTAGTTGTCCATGTCTGTGTCCTAGTTGTCCATGCCTGTGTCTTAGTTGTCCATGCCTGTGTCTGGTTGTCCATTTTGCACAACAACATAGGAGTATGAGATTCTGCTGTCCAACTTCAGGAACACGAAGGAGGTTTTGAAGCACCTTTCCCCAGTCCTGTGTCTCGTGATCCCACTCAGCGGAACTCCCACTTTCCTGGGTGGGGAAGACACACACTTGCAGAGAAGACACTGAGAAGACAGTGTCACCTCGGACAGGAGACTCATGGAGGGTAGCAAAACCGTATTTTTTCAGCCTGCTTTGCCTAAGCCATAGAAAGCCAAGTTACATGGTGCTGCTGAAAGAAGAGCTTGAGTCTTTGGAACTGGTGGGAAACAGCAAGGCTTGGAGGTACAAATAGGCACCCTCTCTTCTTAGCAGCAAGAAACACGTCTCTCAGAGGGTTTATGCTGTTTCTTCCTCCCAGACCTCTCCTTTTTCCTCTCTCCTTTTCCCAAGACCCTAAACCCTGGAATAGTAAAATTCAGTTTTGCGCAAGTCCTTGCAGCACTGAGCCATTCCTGAGCTATAACCAGTCTGGACAGCTCACATTTTCCATGCTCCAGCATCTGAGGTGAAAGCTTCTATTCTTAAAGGAAGGTTCTATTAAATATGCTCCAGGCCCAGAACTCAGAGGGTGAATAAACATTCAAACTTTATGTTCTCAAATGTCATGGATTTTAAAGACGTTTGTATTTTGAGAACTGACGCATTCTTCTTTATCATTTGGAGTTGGCAAAAGTATAAGCATCTGGGGAAGCCTTAAATCCTGTTTACATTATAAATGGAGTATATTGCTCCTATTCCTCACTTCTCCCCCCATATCAGCTGTGGTGGGTCTTTAGAAAGTGCCCATCAGGAACATGAGCTTTCCTTCTTCTGGTGGGGGGGTAGCAGGAGTGCCTCTAAAATCATCACATATATCCTCTAGAAATTGAGCTGCACAGGTGAAATCAGGCCTCACAGAAGGAATACTGACATGGAGGAGCTGCAAGAGGGATAAAACAGCTTGGAGCTGCCACCAGTGACACAGTGATACAGGCGATCAAGTGCTAGGCATTTCCGGGATGCGATGGCAGAGGAAGCCAGCTCTCTCTGCCTGCACAAAGCAGCAGCTGAGACATTACCCCGTGCCGCTGCAAGCACTGAGTTCTCTCAAAATGAAACTGAGATGGTTGTAAAGGGCAGTGGAGATGCAGGGTTAACTGTGATATTCTGCAGGAGAAGATAATATTGAAGTGTTGCAAGTGCTTGCATGCACCCCAGTCATTACATCTTTGTGTTCAACACAATGGCCAGCAAGGGAGCGCAGTACTTAAGGCTCAGAAAGAGGAGGATGTAGGGGCAGAGGTAGCTAAAAAGCTTGGAAGTCAGAGAAGAGAAGGAAAAACATTTGCAGGGGGCTTGGAACTGGATGATCTTAAGATCCTTTCCAACCTTAACTATTCTCTGATTCTATGTTTCTCACAGAAACTTGATCAATGATCCTGGAACACAGACACTGCTGCAGCCAGGAAAAAGATGCAAAACCAACAACCAAATGCCCGGGGTTTAGGAAACAGTGAGGAGCTAGACTG